ATCGTAAGTGAACGTCAAGAATCTTTTAAAACCTGAATAATTTCGCCTGGTAGTGGCCTTTCTGGGTGCTTAGTGTATTGATAAAGAAAATGGAAGGCCTGATACTACCAGTCAGTTCACTTTTGTGCCAGAAACTGGAATGACATAGTGGTGAATCAGGCCCAGAATATTTGTATTTTAAGGTTACAGGAGCAAATAAACTTAAATTTTCCAAAGGTCCATAATTCAAACCCTGTTTTTAAGTCCATGCTTCCAGTGTGAAACTGTTAGAGATTGCTTGTAATGTGTTGTTCATTTCTATCTGCCTATATGAACCCCATCATAACGTGTAGGCTAAGTACAGACATTCCACAACCCTGAGGTGTAAGTTACGCGGTTTTCTGTAAGCGGCGTAGTTTAGATTGGTAGCAAACAGCATACACATTCACCCTTTGGTGGAGGAGGGCAAATCCTAGACCAGGTGCCACCACTTTTAAACCATCTGTGTGTGTGAAACTTTTGTTCTGTTATAGGTATAGTTTTACAGGTATAGACTAGTTTTATGTGCCAAACATCTGTACTTTTATGGGTATAGACAAATTTCTGATCACTTCTACTGGTAAAAGTGTAATGTCTGTACCTGGCCTTAGGGGGCCTCAAATACACTGAAGACCCTCCTTATATAGCAAATTGTTTCCCTTTATTTAAAGTTAGGGGTCTGAGACAGAGAGAGATGGAGACTTGGATTTTGAATGGAGCATAAAGAAAATCCTAGCCACACTGAACTGATTTACCAAAGATCACCTCAGGGACTCTTGAAATAGAGCCAAGGGTTAAATCCCCAGCCAGATTCTTTTGGCTTACATCTAGGTTAGGAGTGCTATACCAGGGCAGGGATATTGCACAGGCAAAATGTCTTTAATATGGATACAGCAAGGTCATATTCTATGTGTCATACTTTTTTTTTAAATGGCCAAGTAAAAAAAAGCAGTAGCTAGAGCTTCTGCTTTACATTTATGGTTGGCAAAAAAGGTTGCAGATTCTTTCCCCTCAGGGATAAACATTGCTACAGTGCAGATTTTCTTAACATCTCAAGCTTTTTTTGTGGAAGAGTCACTCTTTTTTTTTAATTGGTAGTACCTATTTTTTCACAAATGTATTCATTATTTGAAATTAAAGCTTAATTATTTTTTCCTTGGAGAATATTTGAAAAAGATCCTTCCGAGTCCTTGAAATCTGAACAGTGTTGGTTGGTTTTGATTGTGTATTTACAGTACACAAGTACTGTAAATACACAAGTATCATGTGATACTTGATTACAGGAGTGACTCTTAAGATTAGGTTTTTGAGGCAAATAACTGCATTTTGTGATTTCAATTTTACTTTTCTATTTACATGCTTGTGGACATACTCTTCAACGTGTACTTTCACAGCCTTCACAGCCTATTTGCTGGAATATTCACATCAAGTGAACTCCAGAGGGGTGTGAACCCAGCCAACATGAGAGCAAGTTTTTATTGGAATGGATAGTCACAGGAAATTTTGTAATGTTCATTCAGGTCTAGTTTTAAAACTGTTTTGGTTAAATTCCTGTGATGACAGGAAGGTGTGGTACCATTTACAAATAGTGAGCAAGACAAGAGGAGGAAGTTGAACTGCAGCCAAGAACATGGCACTTCTTCCTTTTATTAATATCTCATTGTGCATAATCTTATCTTACTGGATTTGTGCACATCAAGCCCCATGTTGCAATCTGTATTCTTCTTGGTTAGCAGTTCATGTGTGTAGCTTCACTGACTTCAGTGGGAGTGCATGTCAGCTCCATTGACTTCAGTGGAGATCATGTATACACTTATCCTTTCTTCCATGTTCTGCTCCCAAACCTTTGGTAGCATTTTAATATGTTAGCTCAGCTCTTTCAATATTGAGGCAATATCAGACTCTTCATTACCAGTTAGTTCAGAAAATAGATTTATTTTACTTATGTGATCATCTTTGGAGCACAAATGCTGTACTTATTGACATTAATGAAAACTGTGTGTTTCTTTTTTATAAAGATGAAATTTGGCCTTCAGGCTTTTTTTTTAAAATGTGTCATCACAAGATGGAGTTACAGCAACAACAAAAAAGCATCATGGCTCAATTGTGTTCTGCTCATATAGTAAGAAGTGAAATTTAAAAATAACCCAAGAGGAATCAGTCTTGAGTGAGCACTTCCTCTTTCAAACTGCAGATTTTTTAAATATGTTAAACCATTATTAAGAACATGACAAATAATACCAGTGAAGTCTGGTGCAGCAAAAATAATTTCCCAAGTGGGTTTTGTATTTGATGATTTTTAGCCAAGTATATTTTTTCTGTACCATGCGGTAATGAAATCTTGGTAAAGCAGATTGATTTAAGATACAGTGCAAGTGTGAAAGATAATTTGGATCTTAAGAAGATATTATTTGAAGCCTAGCAATAACTTAATTTTTTTCACAATCTCATACATTTTTATAATTAAGAAGACCTTTATGTTCTGATCCTGCAACTTCTTGTGCCAGAGCAAAGTGCCACACCTCTACAACCAGTGCCAGGCTAAGGGCTTAGTTTGTGACAAATACCTGCTCCACAATCAAAAATCCAAGCTTTGAAAATGGTTCATACTGAAACCAGATCCAGATGCCTTGCACCTGAATCCAGGGTTGATTCTCAGACTTATTTCACCAGCAGACTTATGGAATAGAAAGGAATGGAAATGCCCCCAAACTCTGTATGGTCTTCTCCAAGGGCCAGGTCAGGATGGGAACATGGATAGAGGAGCAAGCTTTCATTGTAGAACCCTTAGTATTTCCTTTCCATCCTGATCTCTGAGCTCTGCCACTTATGGGACCATGTCTTCTTTCCACTCCTTCCCAGGAAAGCAGCATTTGGCAGGAATTCAACCAGATAGACATCCAAGTTTTCAAAGTACACTAGCCCAATTCAGGCAAGAAAAGATTCTTTGGGTAAATGTGATATTTTTTATTAGACCAGCTAAGTGTTTTTACCATGGAAAGGACCCACTTCATCATTGACTCTGGGACCACATACACTAGCTAGCAATAATGAGAATGTTGGGCAACCCTAGATCCAGACCTGCTGACTTTGTCAGTTGTGTGTGACTGGTGCACCAGCCACAGATGGATATTCTGGAGTTGAGCCTGGGCACTTTGTACAGAGATGAAGGAAGAAGATTATTTAAATGTTATACGCATACCTCAGAGATTCTACATTTGCACCAAGCCAATAAGGCCTTGAAGCCATGGTGGAATTTAGATCTGCCTGGAGGACTGCTTCCAGTTAGGCATTGCCAGCCCTGTCTCTTCAATAGGGACAAGCTGCCTCCCTTTCATACTTCTCCTAGAATCCTGACCATATTATTAGCAATGTTGTAAACCAGTGGTGCTCAACCTTTGGCTCCACAGGCCAGATGGGTGGCATGGAGTTAGTCTGTGGGCTGTATCAGACCATGGGGCCCAACACCACCCCGTCCCTGACCTGCCCACTGGCCCTGGGGGGCTGGCATGTCTCCTTCCCACATCTTCGCACCAGGATTGCATCCAAAAGGGTTGGCACCGCCCCCTTCCAACTCCCTTGCGCTGGGCCAGGCAACTCCTGGCCCTGCAGACTGGGATCAGACAATGGATCCAGTTCGCAGAGCCTGGGCTCCACATGGATCTGGAGATTTGGTGGTGAGGGAGCAATGCCATCACTTTCCCATCACCACGTTTTTGGATCCATTGGAAGCTTTGTGGGCTGGATGACATGGTGCTGCAGGCTGGAGGTTGAGACCCCTGCTTTAAACAATCTGAAAATATACTTGGACTCCATCCTACAGTATTTACAAAGACAAAACTGTTCTTAGAAGATCAGCCCATGAAAAGGTACCAGATTGGTAACTTTAAAATTTAAATTTAAAAATTGTTAGGGATGGTTTTTAATCCTCAAATCCTGGTGAACTTTATGTATAAATGACCCTTTTTGTATGCTAGGTTACAGTTGTCAAAATCAAAAAAGTAATTGGATGTACTTTTACAAGACAGATCTAGAAAGAGTAAGAGAATTGCATCATAATAGGACATACAAAATGTAGAATAAATCCTTCTGAATTTGTTGCATTTATTATTTCACTCTACTATAAAATGAAAAAAATGACTAGAGAGTGGGCATTGTCACATCCTACATGGGGTGGGTGTGGAGAAAATCCTGTAACAGAAAGTGTTTAAATTGTGATACTTTGACCTTTATCACTATGTTATATTTTAGCTGAGGCATACCTTACGCTTTTTTCCTTGATATCCTCGGTTCTAAGATGGTTATGACATTTATAGGAGGAGGAACTGGAGGGATTGTTATGATCTGCTGATGCTGCAAACATTTGATTTATGTTGTTACTTCAGATGTCTTAAGTGAGCCTATTAACAGTCCTTTAATTGCTAGAGTGAACAGTTAGCAGCCCCAGGCATCATTTTTGCAGTGGGGGGTGGGGACCACAAAGACAGCTGCAGCCATGATTGACATGACAGCAGCCAACGTTGCCTCATGTGTGGCAGCTGCCTTGACAGAACTGTGCTGCTATGCCCCTGTAGCATACACTGGGAAAAAGAAATGAATAAATAGAAACTTCCTGATGCTACTTGTTTCCTGAGTGTGTGTGTTGGATGTACGCAGTGGGTGCATTCCTTTGCTTGGCCCATCATGTTCCATCCAGGAGGCAGTTTGAGCAAAGGGCTCATTTGTCTTTCTGCACTGGGCTTTGTTACCGGAGGAGGAAGAGTTAAAGATTGTTACTGCTCCATTGGCATGTGCTAGAGTTTTTTACACATGTAGCTCTTGGCATGTAGGGCCTGGTGTGGGGATGGGCACGCATGGTTTCCCCTGCCCCACCACTTGGCAGTGTCCTTGTTGCTACCAGCCAAGGTGCACTCTTTTTTTTTAGTTGTCACTGCTGCTTCTGGGCAATAACCCTCTATCTGTCATTTCTCCCCATCTTGCAGTGCCTGAAGAGCAGCTGCTCAATGTCGATGAGTATGACCTCAACGTGGTGAGACTCTGCTTTCAGGCTTTCCTCCTTGATGATCAGGGCAATTGCACGTTTGTACTTCCTCCTGTGATCTCCAACCCTATTTATGACAACAGTGAGTATCTGACTTGCACAACTGTGCTTTTGAATGCTACCTCTCCGCTTGTATTGGAAATGATAGGTGCCAGGCTACTTGTCTAGCTGTTTGCCTCTCAGCGCGCTGGCTCTTGCTTTTTCTAATGCAAACCCAGAACTAGTTCTGGCCCCAGATTTAAGTGCTTGCAGCCAAAAGCTAGAGTATAGATTGTACAGGTTGCAGTACATGCCTATCACAGGGTATTCAGGTCAAGAACACTCTCATAAACAGTCACAAAGACATGAGCTGTAGGAGATACTTGGTAGCAAGAACACTGCATCTATTTTGGCCATACCTACTCACACTGCTGTAGTTACCACGGCCTGTCTAGTATATTGTGTAATGAAATGGATCATTGCCACAAGGCCCCAGCCTGTATTTAGCTGCCATAAAAGTGGGTCTGTGTTCGAAGGATCAGTCCAAAGCCTATTCAGATCAATGGGGAATCTAGCCATTGACTTCTGTGGTCTTCGGATCGGGCTTAGTGAGTGAAATTCACCCAGGTGGAGAGCCAGCTCAGAGACTCTGCATCATTTATACTCCAGTCAAGCCTTATTGTGAGGACCTTGATATAACTCTTGAGGTAAGTTAAGTCAGCATAACTTTGCTGACTTCATTGTGGCTCTATTGGTCTATACTAGCAGAGGAACTACCCCTAAGTAGTATGCAGGCTCTGATCAGGAGAAATCTGCTCCATATTCATTTTTCAGAGGGTTAATATCTGTTTTGTGGAGGGTTACATTTTTCTCTGAGGTTTATAGGGTTACTTTACTTGACTGTAAGTGAACCTTTGGAAAATTAGTGTAAAAAATTAAATGTCAATTTTTCTCTCCCATCTATGCAGATATTTATTGAAGAATTGTACAGTAATTTTTGTCATCTTTCAGATAAGATCTGTTAGATTTTTCTGGGCAAGAGATTTATTATTCTAGCAAAAACTATTAATTATAAAAAAAACAAACTCAAAAACCCCTCCAATTTCCTTGGTGCAGCTGTAAACAGAATTGTGCCATATGTTGGTGTAACAAAATTATTTGGGTTGGATTGGTGTATTATCTTTACCTGATTTTTAAAACACAGCATAAATCTTTTAGTCTTATGCTTAAAACTTTATGCTTGCAGAACACCAGCTCCGATAGAAGGGAGATAATTACAGCTGAGAACTTACATCAATATGCCTCAGCTGCCATTTAGAAATATGCCAGATCATGATTTCAAGTATGCTTTAATTGACGTCAGTCTTTGCTGTGCTGCAGAAATGACAGCTAGCTACGTGTTTAGGGGGAGCTCAGCTTTCTTTGGTTTTTAGCATGGGAGTGCGTGGGTGATTTTGTTTTGATGTACTGTAGGTGTCTGAAATCCTCTGTAGCTTAGCGGCAGTGTAAATAAAACACAATGCATAACTTCAACCACAAGTCAGTAGTACCGTGATCCTTCTGTGTCAGGGAGAAAAGTTTCAGAGCTGAGTTCCTCAAAAAAAAAAATTGACCTTTTAAATTTAGTTCTGTGTGCAGAATTAGGAAAGGTCAAGGTATGACCTTACATAAAAGATAATTATGTAGTTATGTATGTTCAGTCTCTCCTAAAATGAAATTGTAAAGAGAACAAAATAAGGACACAATTATTAAATTGAATATCTCTAGTAATAACACTTCTCTTACTCTATAGCCTCATATGAGTTGGAAAAGATTAATTGTATTGCAATTGAGTTTGGAAGACCTTACACACATTTAAAGTTTGCAGACCTGTACCAAAAAAGTAATTTAAAAAGCTTTCAGAAACTTCATAACTCTCTGTACACCATTATGTATTTCAGCCCATGTGCTTTCAAGCTAATAATATGTTTACTTTTTTGTAATGTCTACTCTCCATATACCTAATTAGTCTCATACCACATGCACCCCTCTCCCCAAAAATTAGCCTTCCAGTTTGCAGGGGGAGACGGAGTTTTAAGCAAGGAAGCTTATTTTTATGCTGCAATGGAGGCACAGGGATCTGAAATGGCTGCTTGGGGCTGGCTCCTTGCATACAGGAGCAGCAGAGTCCACTCTTCAACCACACTCACCCGCTTGCTGGAGCTCTACAGCTAGAAGTTTAGCCTTCACACAGCTCTCGCATAGTGTAGGGAATGAAGCAGGAGACTGCAAAGAGTTTCAAGGGTCGGCAGCTGAGCTGGATTCTATCCTTGCATCTGCTACAGAGTTCCCATGTGGTGTTAGTCAAATTACTTAAACCAGAAATTGCACATGTGGCCACTACATGATCCTCATGTCCAGAATACCCAACCTGAGCTACCTGTGGGTCTGGCCTACAGAAGTACCCAGCACTAGGGTTACTGGGTGCAGTGCTGTGAACATGCAGGCTGTCGTGTACTGCAAAGTACCGAGCAAATTCAGATACGAATCAACTCAGATAGGACACCTAAAAATGAAGGGCACATTTGATCATTTTGGCTTTAAGCTTTGCACCTCACCTACCTGTTTGTAAAATGGAGGTGGTGGTAATGCCTTGCCTTGGTGTGGTGTTGTGAAGATGTTGTAAAGCACTAGGGACCAGTTCCTTAAAGATGTGTATACTAAATAATTCAATATCCAATTATTATATTCAATTCACCACTTAAACTGAGAAAGGGTACTGTGATAGCCAAAAGCTTGTTTGAGTCCATCCTAACCCTGCAGTTGATCCAATAAAAGGTAACACCTGCAAAAATCCCTCCCATGAGAAAATGAATATTTTTTTTCTTCAGAGCAGAGTTTGAAGAATATGCAGTAAATAAGGCATGTGATTGTACATTGAATCATGGTGAAAAAACAAAATGTTGATTTAGCTGTTCCTTTTATGAGCCCTGTCCAACTTGTGCCCTGAATGAAGCAGGAGTCATGTAATTGCTAGATCATACTGCTAGCATACAAGGGGGGGCAAATTAATGTTCTGCAGGTAGCCTTACTTCTGGTATCTTTTAACTTTTGATCATTTGCAACTTTTAATACACTTTTAAACTTTTTTTCCTGCAGATATAATCTCTTATTTAATCACTCTTTGCTGAGGTTACCTCTCGGATGCACATGATTTTATTATATTTTCTATGAAGAACAGTAATGTAAGAAAATATCCAACCTGCACTTATTCCATTTTTTTTTTTGGAAAATAATGTTGGTTATATTAGAATTCTAAATGAGGCGAGATAAAAAAATAACACTAGGTAGCAAAATCTCTAAAAATTGTAGGGGTCCAGTTTGGCCACATCAGCTGAGGCTCATTAGTTGCTTATTGTAGTTGAATTGGTTTAATTTTGAATTGGACAGCCTCACTCTTTGGAAGATAATTTTGCAAAGGGCAGTTCTGGATCCAGTATCTAGGTGGGTGCTTGAAGCCTGTCAGTGACCTGTCATGTTAGCACGTTTTTAGCCAAATTCTAAATTTGGCAAAAGTTGCCCTGGATGCATTTTTGGGCAGAATCTGACACCTCAAGTAAAATCAGTTGCTATTGTGTAATTTTACCAAGACTTGAGGTTCTTAAATCTATTTAAAGCATCAAAACATAGCTCTTGTTCTGCAAAACACTGTCAGTCGATGTACACATAAATTTTTAAATATGTTCAGATTACTTTCCTGGGACTGTTTACATGCTGAAGTGCTTGGCTGAGCTAGGGCCTAGGTAGCCAGGCCTCCAAAGTCCTCATTCCCTAGCAATTCCCATTGACCTCAGTGGAGCTGCTGGGCACTCAGCAACTTTTTACATACCTACATACAGACTTAGAACCTTAACTTTCCTATTTTTGAACACTTCTAGCAGGCTGGACTTCATGCTTAAAATAAGCTTTGTACCATTTTTTACTATAAAATAGTACACTGTAGTAGTGCTGGGACATTCCAGTGGAGATCAGAGCGTCACTGAGCTAGGTGCCCATTCCTTGTCCTATTTAGGCACCAGCTTATGAGTTTTTAATGCCAATTATGTTACTAAATATGATGATTCCCTGAAGCACTGGGATGCAAGAGGGTGTAACTTTCTTGAATTGCTGACCCAGCCCTTTGCAAAGCAGCATGGGTGCAACTCGTAAAAGTCATGAAACAAACCCTTACATGTGAGCTTCTGTGGGTCAGGCTTGCTGTTATGTTGAGTCACAGCTGGTAGCAGTGATGAAATATTTGCTGTAGCCATGTGAGCAAGCTGGTTTGGGACCACATACACAACCTGAGTGACAAAGAAAAGCAGGATTGGTATCTTGTGCCCGTGAGAGAGGAAAAGGCTGAATGAGGTCTTGATCTTCCTTGTCTTCATCACCAGCTTGCTGATTCCACCACTGGCTCATAATAAAAGTGATTAGGAAGCGGGTTTTATATTGGGGAATTTGAAGAGCCAACCCCACACATTCTCTGGCTGTTAAGCCAGGCAAATGCAGACCTTTATTCCAGTTCTGTAAGAACCATGATTTCATCTCTACGCTTTTGCTTTAAAGCACCATTAGTGCTTTAACCAGTATTGAATAGTGGAGGACATAGGTGGGATCACCCTCTTCAGCACAGACTTCATTGCCAAAATGTGCATTGGACTTAGCCCTGCTGTTGCATACTTCATTTAGTAGTTTATATGCTTAGCTGCTGTTATGCCAGCCTGTCGGTCATCTCAAAGCACTTTCATGCAGCTCTTTGTCCATTTTTAGCACGGGTTATTCTAAGTACCTACTGTCACTTTCCCATTTGCTTCTAGGAGCTCCCAACACTGCAGAGCTGAGAATTTGTCGCGTGAATAAGAACTGTGGAAGCGTAAAAGGGGGAGATGAAATATTTCTATTATGTGACAAGGTTCAAAAAGGTAAGCATAGTCATGCTCTCTCCCTCTTTCCAGAACATGTTTCCTTTTTCTGCTAGTGTAGAGCCTAATGTTTTCAGACTTGGGGGGCCTAAGTCAGTATCAAGAGTCCTAAGTAAGTGGCCTGACTTTCAGAACTGCTGGACACCCTCAACTCCTATTGAATTTATAGGTGCTCAGCCCCTCTGTAATTGGGATGCTTCTGTAAGAGCCCAAGTATGGATTTATATGCCTTTGACCCCCCAAGTTGTCTGTAGGCTTTAGCATTTCTCTGTGTACTAACAGATACCTTCTGTTTCCAATGGACTAGATGACATAGAAGTTAGGTTTGTCTTGAACGAGTGGGAAGCCAAAGGTACCTTCTCGCAAGCTGATGTACATCGCCAAGTTGCTATCGTATTCAGGACACCACCATTTTACCAGGACATCGCTGAACCAGTTACAGTAAAGATGCAGCTGAGAAGACCTTCTGACCAGGAAGTCAGTGAACCTATGGACTTCAGATATCTACCAGATGAGAAAGGTAGAATTCCTGGTAGCAAAATTCTCAGAGTAGTTTGTCAGTTTTATATTTTTACACAATACCTTTAATCAGTAAAAATCAAATTTTGCAAGTAATATTTTTTTCCACTAACAGTAATGGGAATAGCTTCCTTTCTAAAAATACTAAGGATGGTGGACTGTGATTTTTGTATCACTTTAGATCCCATATCTGTCTGAGATTTACTTAAGGAAGGTACTTTCCAGTACAAGCAGAGACCAGACATAAGTTCTAGGAGCATCTTAATTAACACTGTTTTTTCTCCTTCCCCATGTAGATCCTTACGGTAATAAAGCAAAAAGGCAAAGATCAACATTGGCTTTGCAAAAGCTCATGCAGGACTGTGGTAAGAAAAACATTTGTCTCTTGCTAGTTTGAGCGAACCTGTGAAATCATACTGCCTCTATTTTGTGATTTGTTTCTTTTTTAAAAGAATGGTCCTGTTTTTAAATGCCATGATTAAGAACTGTTTCCTTTATAGGTTCGAATGTGTCTGAGAGGCCCAAAACAACTCCTTTCCGAGTTATTGCTGGTGATGGGAGGATAATTAAGGAAGGTAGGTGTGCAAGTCCAGTGACAGCTTGCTCTCTCATTTGCAGCATCCCTTTTCCACAGGAGAGATTGTGAGGGGGGTGGGTCATGAGCTCTTACAGACCCTGGAAGGCTAAGCTTCAGTGGCTAGAGGCACTGGTGGGCTGACACTTGAATGCGTAGTTACCACAGGTAGATATGAACAAACATCAAAAATCCTTTACATGACCTTCATTCTTAGCAGAAAAGATATGAGGGAACTGGTTAGCTGGAGCCCTGCATGGATCTGTCCCAAAAAAGGCTGGGGAAATTTTGAGAGTTCCACTTCTTCTCAACATAAGCACATACCTCTGATAGCGTAGACCCCCTGGAGTCTAGCAGTAGAGGACCCTGATGATCTTTCATGGCAGCACAAACAGCAGAAAAGAGGGGACTTAGTTACAAGGGAGGGACGTTCTTCAGGAACTGTGGGACATGAGAGGACCAAATGCAAGAAGCCTGTGATGGGTAACCTGTACATTCAGGGACAGATCTCCATAGTCTGGAAATACTATTGGGCAGGAGAACCACCCATTGTACCACCCTCCAGTAATCAACAGGGAGGAATCCAACACCCACTGCAGTTTTCAGTGAGAAGGGGGAAGGGATTGGTGCCAGGAAGGGTACCCAGGTTAGCAGGGACTGGATTAGCGCTTAGGGGTTTTTGGACAGACTCAAGACCGAGCACATTTCCAGAAGTGCCACTTTTCAGAAGTGATTCTTAAGCCTCTGGTTCCAAGTTAAGGGGACTTAGACTCCTAAGTCATTTTGTAGTTCCTGAACACATATCCAGTGTTCTCTGAAGCTGTCTGGTTTCAGACCTTGTTCTTTTACTTCATCTGGGTACTCCTTTCTTTTTGCTCTGTTTGTTTAAAAGTCTGCCTCCTTACTAAGCCCTGAGTGATAGTATTGACTATACCACTAGTGACCAGCCTTTTTTTGGCAGGCATGCCACAAATTGAACTTCACCCCATCTGAGTGCCACTCTGATCCCCTTCCCTGCCGATCTGTTGCTCTGCTTTCTGGTCTCTGCCTTCTACACCTTGCTGTATCTGCCCTGTGCTGCTTGCTCCCTTCCTAATCTGCTGTGTACCACACAGAGGCTGCCTTAGCACTAGTGGTGTGCATGTGGCAGGTGGGCACCCCTGGACTATACAATTTCCAAACCATCAGGTTTTTACTGTAAGCTGCCTTCTACAGCTGCCTGTCCTACAGGGAGGACTGACCAAGCAGTCTTGCCATGGGCGAGACATTGAAGGCTCCTCCTGCAAGGTGCTGAGTGCTGTGCTCAGTACAGCCAGGTATTAAATGCAGATTCATAATCAGCATAATTGAAGTCAGAAGGCTTGCTTGGGTACTCAGAGTTAATCCTAGGTGTCAGTGCTTTGCTGGATCAAGTCAAAGTGCCCAACCAGTGGCAGACTTGACCCTTTTCCCCAGCTGCACCATTTTATTGCTTCTGACTGCTGTGCATTACTTAAGAACTGTGTTTCTCTTTTCATAGAACCAGTCCCATTTTCACAAACTTCATCGCTAATCTCAGTATCACGAGTTCCAGGAAGCAGCAGTCAAGTTCCGTCCTACTATCCCTCTGTCCAGCATCAACCTAGAAATGTGCCAGCAATGGGGCCAATTAAGCATGATGATACCCTTTCCTCATGCTGGCATTCCCAATGCCCCTCCTCTTCCTCAGGAAACCCAATGAATATGCACCCACAGAACAGTTTTGGGACAGAGGCATTGCCTGCTAACTCACAAAACAGCAGTTCTCTTTCAGTTCTGCAGGAGAACATTCCCAACTGGACAGACGAGAAGGAGCAAAACTTCTACAGCAATTTCATCAGCACAAATGGTATGGGAACATCATTCATGCCACAGCGTGACATGCAGCATGTCTCCAGCAGTAGCAGCCATCAGGCTCACCCTATAAATGTCACAGCACCCAGCATTGTTAACATGGAGACTGATGACATAAGATGCTCCAGCATAAACTTTGAAAAGGCCTCATTTAGTCAAGATTTGAATCTAAGTGATCACAGGCGGCAGATCCATCAGATGCCTCTTACGAATACATCTGCAGTAGCTTCTTGCAGCACTTCTTTTAATTCTCCATATGCATTTGATCCAACAGCTTACACGTTTATGGACCCAGGAGTTCTGAATGAAGTGAGATCATCCAGCAGTGCTATTCAGAATAATCAGAATGGGATTCCAAGTAACCCGTACTACATTACAGATGGGGCGCAGGGAGATGATGTTTATAACTCCTCAGAAGTTAATTTTGATGCTCTACTGAAAAGCTTTGATCACTGCAGTCAGGTTGAAAATTAGCATCAAATTTTTCTTAACAACCAATCACCAACAGAAGAAAAATTTTATCTGTAGTGGCATATTCACCCTCATACTTCCTCCTAACTTCCTGTTGGAACATTCATTCGCGCAACCTACTATGCAAGTTTAATATGCAGTTAGGGTTAGTGATGCCCCAGAAAAAGAAACACTTTTGAAATAGGGTTTTGTATATCAAAAGTGCTTCATATCCATGTCATGGTGTTGGAAAAGGGCTGCTAGCCCTAAAGGGCTCCTTCATTCATGTGGAACTTCATATGGAAGTATGTTTCTTCAGGGGGGTTGGCTTGTTCAGAAATAAATTTGTTTTTGTAAACTTTTAATGTAAGGTGAGAGAGATTAGCAAATCATGGGCTTCTGAGCTGAATAATCGTATTTATGTCCTTTTAGCACTTGAACTATTTAGATCATAGGTGTCTAACTCATCTAGCCCTATGGGCCAAATGAGAGGCATGGGCCCAGTCTGATTGGACCCACAGACCAGCCCCATGTCCTGGAGTTAGTGCACAGGGCTGGATCAGTGCAGGTAGCTCATGCAACATGCATGCTGGCCCAGGGCTTTTTCATGGAGGCAGCGCAGGGCACAAGGTGTCTGTGCCAGACTGGTCCTGCACATCAGCTCTGGTGCATAGGACCAGTCTATGGGCCCAATACAGATTGGCTCCAGAGCCAGTACGCAAGGTTTGTCTGAGACCCCAGACCAGATCCTAGGGTTCCATGGCCTGGATCCAGCCTGCAGACTGTGGCTTTGACAGCCTGGATTTTGCAGTCCTTTTTTATGCATATGTTTGTTTCTAAAATTAGCTTCTGCACTGATTTCTTTGTTTTCCCCTTGCATTTGTTACATTGATTTCATTTGCTCTGAAGCAAATTTACTCTTAGACATTGTAATGACTATGTCATTGTTGGGTATATTTAACACTTTAGAAACCACCAAAATGTAGAAGTCATGTAGAGCTGGTGTGAAATGAATGATTGCACAAAGCAATGAGAGAACTCATTCAAGGTATACTTTGCACTGTTTTGCCTAAGTCTTACTCTATTTTTTTTTAATTGGGTAAGCCAGGCTAGAGGCTTCACAAGTGGCTGTATATTGTGGCTACTGCGAAACACTTTATCAGCACAGACTGCATGACTTTGAATAACAAAGACTATGTTGGACCACCTTCCCCCACTGCTTACAGCTTTGTGCTGCCCGAACAAGAAAGGTGAAAGCATGCTTGGGAGGTACTCTTGGGATGCATGAAGGTAGCATAGCAGTTTCTGTTCTACTCCCCACACTTCCTTGTGGTAGAGATGGAATGGCCCCAGTGTACTTGTACTATGGCAGGGATGTTGAAGCTAGGGTGTTCAGAGCCCCATTGTTGGCCCTCAGTGCTGCCCATGGGTCCAGCCCTCAATGCAGCATGTATTGGCTCCAACCTTGTGTGTTGCATGTAGCATGGAATAAATATGGTGCAGGGCCTGGAGCCAGCCTGCTAGACCAGTCCGAGGCATGTGCTGCATGTGGCATCCACCCCAGACAGGCCCTGCTTGCTAGATCTAGGGCCAGTCAGGACACAGGTGCCCTGCATGTTGTACAGTGGAGTCGCATCGTACGCGCATTTAACTTACGCGATTTCATCATGCGCGTATGCCCTGGAATGCCAGTTGTTTGGATTTAGCCTGCAGTTGCCCCCCGCAGTGCTGTGCATGGGGCCAGCAGCCCTGCTGGGAAGCTGTGCACGCTGGCCAGGCAGGAATTTGGTGCAGGCCAGCTGATTTTCAAGGGTAATTTTGATTATACATGATTTTCGCCTTACATGCTGACTCTAGAACCTAACCCCTGCCCAAATCCATGTCTTCTTCCCCCATCTAGGGGAATCCTGGAGAAACTCCTGGCACTGAGCCCTGGAAGGCACAATGGTCTGGGTCCTCTGCCACCCCCGGTGGCATTTTGGCAGCAACACAATACGTAAAAGGTGAGG